CTTCACCGGTCCCCCGGGCGCCGCCATCTTGGTGTCAGAGGGCAAGCGGAAGCGGCGGTGGCCCGGCCCACGTGACGCGCCGTCCGTTGCCGTGGCTCCCGGAGCGGGCCCCACGCCCCGGGGTCTCTCTCGGGCCTGAGGCCATCTCGACCTTCGGCGCCTTTGCCGAGGGCTGAAGGGCGGGAAAGGAGACCACCGCCTCCGTTCCTCTTAAGGCGAAGGGTCCTGACCGTTACTAGCGCTGCAGCCGCTGGGGCAAAGCACAAAGTGACATTGCTGTATCTTAACGTGAGGGATGGCTGCCGGTTTCTAGCTTATGTGAGATCCGTGCTGTGGTCCCACACACAGAAGCAACGCTGCTGGAGAAACGTGCTTGATAAAATCACTCTCAAGCGTGACCAAAACCCACCCTTCCCCTCCGAGCCAGAAGGGAAAACATATATAACAGGGGCCTGGCAGATAAGTGAACCAAGCTTTCCAGACACTACTCCTGCTTCTAAAATGAAGTGTATAACCTGGGCAAGAACCCAGGATTTAACACGATTGAAAGACAACCTCCAAAAAGTCATTGTCTTATTAATTAAGTAAAGCTAATGTTTCACTTCTCCACATAAAGGTTGTCTCTGCACTGCAGGCTCCACAGCTCCACTTCACAGCAGGCAGCTGACAGACTAGAAAGAAAACCATTCCAGTAATAGTCACTAGATCCAGGAGTGCCCCACCACAGACTAGTTGCAGCCCATGTTATCATTCAATCAAATTTAATGTAGACTTTGAGGTAGTTAAGTGTAAGCTGGAGTAAAAAGAAAAGAAAATGAAAGAAAGGAAGGAAAAGGAAAGAAAGGAAGCAAATAGCTTCTAATAAGCTTTGTAATGCTGTCAAAATTCATGCTTATGGGAAAAAATCTAATCAAATTTTATATTCTTATTAATCACTATTGTTCTTCATTAATAACCTGACAAGCTACCTATGTGGTTGTGGGGATGAACACAGACTGCTCTTCACAGTGCTGTACTTCCACTGTCACTTGTTATGAAAAGACTCTAGGAAACCATTTGAAAAAGAGGTTATTCAGTTATAACTAGAGTAATTCTTAAAATTCAAGCTATTTCCTTTTTCAATGTACTTTTCAGGTTAAGTCTACTCTATCAAAAATAAACACAAGCCTTATTACAGTATTTTGTAACAATATATTAGCAACTGTTGAGAAAAAGTCCTACTACTGGCACATGGAAAGAGTTGCCTATTAAAGTAATGAGATGAATAACAAAGTTAAAAACTTGTATTTGAGAAAATATATACAGATAATAATTGTGAAAATAAAATGACACAATATTTTGCATCGAGTACAACACTCTATTTTTCTGTATTGATGGAAAATATATAGTTAAGAATAAAAATCCACATTTCAAACTTATTCACATACAGAAAAAAGTTAAGACTATTAAACTATAAGATATTGAACAGGTTAGGACAGTCAGAACTATTACATTTCAACGATTGTAAGCACATTAGAAAAAGGGCCCAGGTTAGTTGTATTCTAATCAGTACATTACTGCATTGTCCATAAACACCATTCTTGTAAGCTCCACATGTCCAGCTTAATGTCCTGCTGATGTTGAGCAGAGATCCATATGAAATTCTCCAGCTGAGTGTTAACCTTCCCCTGTGAAGCCCAGCACCTACAAGACACATATGCAAACTTACACCTGAGTTTTCTGCAGTAGTCAGAGCCTCAAGACCAACTTGAGAACTTGGGGTACCTTTGCTTTTGCCATAGCTGCTGTGATTGGACTAGCAAGAGCTTCTGCACTGGCAGGCCATGGGAGCTTCAGGGCCTCAACATACAACTGTTTGGAAGGATAGTTTAATCATTTGGGGTTTTTTGTTTTCTCCAGAAATAGATAGGTTGTTTTTAAAAAAAAAAAAACAAAAAAAAACCAAAAAAAACCAAAAAACCAGCTTGCATGAAACCTTAAAAATAAAAAGATTCTGCTTCTGACTGTCATGTTACTGCATGTTTGGCAGAAGTAAGACTTTTGAGAAGCAGCAGCAGCTTCATAGATTTCAGATCTACTCAACTTCTCTCACATGATCAGACAGCAGTAGCAACCACAAAGAAACCAAAAGGTATATATTGCAATGCCAAGAAAATGGTCCTATTTGCTTCTACTACAAACAGTAGGTTCTTAGGAACACTCTTTTTTACATTGATTTATTGCATGCAATGTCCAACAGCCCAAGTGTCCTTATAAAGAAAAGTCCTGTTTGCCTGACACGTTAGCTCATTCTGCTCAGCAGCACAGCTTCATGTAAAGAAAATGTGACCTTCAAGGACTGGTAACACCGTACTGATCTACCAGTTTCTACGTTATGGTTACTCCGCTTCAGTTGTGTGTCATGAAACAGTTCGTGGAGAGTTCCTGCAACACAAGCCTAAGCTCAGTCTGATTTGAGAGCCCTACAGCAGTCCTGCTACTCATCTTTGGAAGACTTTACAGAGTATTATTTTCTATACATAGATTTCTTAAAACCAAGAAAAAGGTTTGAGCTAGTGAGCTAAGGCATTGCTAACCCATCAGCATAAAACATGTAAGAATAGGTTGAAAAATGAAAATCTGACAGAACACTAGAAGTCAATAATGGCTTTCCAGGTGCTAAGAGTTTTGTTTTTTTAAACACATCTGAGCCTAAGATAATTCCATAATTGTATCTGTTGAACTGCATGATAGTGGTCTTCAAACAAAACCACAACTGCAGAATCACTTTCTCTCAGTTCGAGGTTTGTTTCCCAGGCGCCCTCACACACACTCTGTAAGACAGCACTCGACAGTGACAGCTGGACGTGGTTCCTGAGGTTCTGCTGCTCGCTCCAAGCGAACGCGCAATTCATCTCTCTATGATCCAGTGTGGCCTCATCACTAGAGAGCCATTCCTCTTAGTCAGTGGAGGAGAGGTATGCACTGCGTTATTTGACACGTAGACTGCCTCCCTTGAGGTATGCAGCCAGTTTCGCTTCCTTTTGAGATTTCCTACAAGTGCTCTTAGATACAAAAACTCCATTCTTGGGAAGTTTTCCCTGGTTGAGTCTCTGGAAGCCACTGTTATCCTGACCAGCTGGTCCAACACCTTATTCTTCTTGCAGCTGGATAACTCTTTGAAGTTGATAGGCTTTGACCGTGCATAAAGAATCCGAAATTCCAGGTCAAAGTGCGCAACCGCAGGGCCTGACAAGATCAAAATGTTACTGCTGTTCAGCTTCCCATCTGTCCATGTAAAACTAGCAAAGGAAATGGAATAATGAGAAAATTCTGAGTTAATTCAAGATAAATAGTAAACGCAGTATTAACTGAAGATTCACCATATTTAGTTAAATTGTTCTTATAATCCAAATAACAAGCAGAGTGCTCTTTTTAGGACAAAATTTCAAGTAAACTGTGTTAAGGAGAACAGTTTTGCAGTGTGGCTAGACTTTTCCTTTCCATGAAAAGAAATCATGTAAAGCAACAGAAAGAAACTGGCACTTGCCTGTAGGAGCCCGTTGTCACTCTAATGCCATCAACTAACATGAACTTTTCACGGACTTTTCCAACAATTTTGGCACCTGACCTCGTGTAGTATGTGTTCCCGGTGATATTTCGAATTCTCATCAACTGTTAAAGATACAGCAAGCATTATACGGATTTCAAAGTTAAATGATTGCATTTAAAGGAGTAACACACAAGAATGATCACTGATGAACTAGCGAAGGCTGCTGTGCCGTGGATTCACAGGATTCACCCTCAAGCAGCCAAATGAGCATTTTGCCTTGTTTTAGTAGGCAAAGAGGTGGCATTAAGGGGCAGCCCCAGGAACTGATTGAGCAGAATGGGATTGTAAAAACTCCTGTTGCCAAATCTTGGAGGGACCTGAACTCCACAGACTCCCGAGAACCTCCTTCTCCATCAGCCTTCAAAGTGTCAGCAAGCCTGACCAATTCCAGTCATGCTTTGGGAACTGGACATTCCTCCTGCACTCCTTGAATATTCAATTAGTATTTGTGCTCAGAAAGCAACCGTAACATCAGCTGATTTCAGTTTTTCTATTAAATGCCTCTTATGTAAGAATGATTAAATCTTCCAAGAAAGAGCTAGAGGTGCATAAACCCATTTTAAGTTGTAGCAGCAGGCATAATAGTTTCTTCTTTCGATAGCTGAAAGATGTCAGTGGTAAGAGGATCAGCTCTCTAGCCCTACAAAACTGACAAGGCTCACCTTTTCCTTTTCCAGGTCAACTCCCAGATCCTTGCACATTTTCAGAAAGTGGGAAAATGAAGACTGATCTAGAAGGATATATGCTTTAACTTGCCGCTGGCTACAAGCTTCCAAGAGGTCTCTGAAGATATCAGTATCTGTGAAGGAATCCATAACCAGGGCAATCATCTGCAACAAGTTTCAGAAGAAACCATTAGGCTGTTTCTACACCATCCCAGGGGAGACGGCACATGAGGAATTTGACTTTCAAATTAAATATTCCCCCCCTTTTTTTCCTGGTGGTTATGGAACATGGTACAGTCTTCTGTGATATGATATATTCTTCTGTTGTTCACAGGACTGCTGAAACATTTAATGGACATGTAAGAGAAGAGAAAGGAAAAAAGTTATTCTGATTAGGACAAAGTTCTGTGAAGGGAATGGTATTTTGGTAAAGGCAATTACTGAGTGCAGTACACTGAGGTACAGGAAACACAATATACATCACCCTTTCACTATGATCACTTATTCATGTCCCTGTAGAATTAAATAGAAAAAAAATATGGATTTATGAGCAGAAATTGTCATTAATTTGGCCCAATTTTGTTGTTGCTTGACTGATTTATAACAGATAATATAATTTAGGATTTTTAATACTGCACTGTAGATACTCTGGTTTTACTGTAATGTCGGCAGCAGACACTGAAGCTTCTTTGCCAGGATCTGTATCTCTTCTGGTTCATTGGTATGAGCAATCTAGCCTGAAAGCCTTTTGTGGAAAGACACCTCTCCTGTATTTAAAAATCAGAGTTCACCACTAATTAGCAGCACTAGCTCCTGCATCTCTGTTCAGTAGCACGTTGATCATGATTTTTAATTAAGGTTGTACTAAATCCTTCCCATTTTTACTACTGTACTTAACCTTCAAGGAAAAAATTGCAGAAATCTGAGCATTTTCTCCTTTCCCTTCACCTCCAGAGCAGCATCAAGATCGATGAAGGCAGAAGGAGCCTTGACACCTCTCCAAAAACCTGTCATTTGATCAAAAAAGTATTTTACACGTGGAAAAGAAAGCCATGTTACTGTCAGTCTTCTTCAGCTTTATCAGTAACTTCTGGTGTAACAGGAGTCCTGAGTCGATGGTAGAGGTGTTTGAGGAACTGAGAACACCTCAGAAGAACCAGAATAGTGGCAAAATAAATGGATTGCCTCAGGTTTCTTCCTCACCTTGAGATATGGCAAAAACAGGGGTCTAGAACTGTGTTAAACAAATTTGCCATTCCTAGGCAAGCTGTTTTTTTCCTAAGAACAGATGTCTTTTCCTCAAAAGCATTGCCTCAAGAAAAAGGTGAGACTATTTTCAAAACTTAAGCATTCCAGAGTCTTGCAAGCTTTTCAACTATGAAATGGTAAAAAAATAATTCACTGGTGTCTGCCTGCTCTTTACATCTCACCTCTCTAAGATAAAACTGAGGTTTCTGTTCAACTTAATGTTCAGAGTCTCATGATATCTCAAACCAAGATCTGATTATTTGCGTAAGCTCCTCAAGTAAAACCTCCCTTGAGAGCTGGCTGTTGCCCTCGCAGATCCGTCCCTGGGACTGAACCTCAAGGTTTGCTGGGGAGCCAACGGGTGAAGGGGAAGCAATGGCTAAAAGAGCTGGCAAAGGAGCACTTTCAGGACATAACGCTCACAGGTTCTTTGCGTGAGCATAGTGACATTTGGATAGCACAGACTCGTTTCATCTGCGTAGGGGAAAAAGCTTCCAAATAACTGAGCTAATTAAAAAAAATACAAAACATGGTGTAAAAAAAAAACACGTAACAAAATAGTAAATAAGTAAATAAAAGTAAATCAAGGGGGTTTATTTAAAAGAAGAGGAGATGGACGAGCTGTGCCTCCGGAAGCCGTGCGGGAGCGGTGCGGCGGAGGAGAGTGG